CAATAAATATTCGTACCATATATGGTACATATATATATATATATATACATATATATGTATATATATAGACGGCGGAAATGTGACGGTCGGAGATCGCGTTGCGATTTTCACTTTAAAAAGATTCCGGTTTTCGAAAGCTGCTCGCTCTTTTCTTCCTCTAGCCAATCTCGCTATATAATATACATATGTATATTGCGCACGCGTGTGTCATCGGTCTGCATATACATATTTTTACTTAATACTTATGCTTATAGGGTTGCGCGGCCCTTTGTCGTTGCGGCGAAGGCGGGGACCGTCCGGCCTGCTTCCTGGGATGGCATGCACAGAACACAGCACAAAACGCCACACAGTTACACAAAGACAGACAAAGAGAGATAGAGAAGAGAAGATACATAAGTAGATAATAAGGTATAAGACTATAGATAAGAAAAAGGCACAAAAATGTGGTGAGAACAATTCGAACGAGAAAATATATCTCGTGGGGGAGAGGGGAGGAGACAATGGAGGAAAAACGGGAAGGTGCGTCGAGAACGCAGGCGAGAGAGGTGCGAGAAAAAATGTATTTTTTTTTTAGTAAAAGATTTATAAAACGTATTCGGGGACGAGGGATGATTATATAATATTTGCGAAAACACAATTGTTTGTTCGCATTCAACAGCAGACTCACGTGACGAGCACAAACGTAATGTTTTTCATATATTACTTGTTGTTTACGGGAGAATGTTTTAAAAACTATTGTAACAATCTCTTGCCGTATAAAAAATTATATTTAGAAAAAGTTGCCAGATTATTTATACAGAAGTAATGATCCGCGCGTAATCTCGAAAGAGATTTAAAGACTAATCTTTAAATTTAATTTTCGATAAACTTTGTTTTTTGTTTATTTTATTGAATTCCGATAAATTTATCGTGTGCTATTGTAATCTTTAAATTTAATTTAGATAAACTTTGTTTTTTGTTTATTTTTTTGAATTCCGATAAATTTATCGTGCGCTACTGTCATCTCTACTGAAAACAAAATTCTTTTATACCATTCGATAACGTAAGTGCAACTATAATTTCTCAGAAATCGAAAAATCAATATTGAGCAATTGTTATCTTGTTTAAGGCATAATAGAGAGCCCGTCAAAGTTATTTCCGATAGTGGTCCTGGAAAGCCGTTTCGTTTACGTTCCTTTTAGAAGAATGAATGCCGAAGGAAATCACTTCGACGAATTGCATTACTCTTTTCTGCGAAATTACGTAATTTGCGAGAAAATGATTGAAAAAAAAAACAAACAAAAAATTATCCCGCGTAGGTGTCGCGTAATTTGTTTAAGGAATGTAAATCTCGCGATTTTAAATTTCATCGTGATAAACAACAGAATGCCGTTGAAGAAAAAAGCGACGAGAGAATATATATGTATATTCAATATCGATGAAACGTGTTAACTTAAAAATGCAATGGACAATATTTACAAACAAACAAAAAAAATAATAATAAATACAGATTTAAATGCAGCCAGTGACGTTAGTGCACAAAATGTCACAACGTTCTCTTTCCATTCTTATAAACAATCTCCTTTTCTAACTCAATTCATTTTTGTCAACTCGTATATACATATTTATAAGTTTGTGCCGGAAAACAAAACGTGAGACAACAATTTTAAAAGACATATAAGAATTAGTTGGGAATAAATACACGTAGAATCGATTATTAACTTCTTTTTTGAGACAGATGACGCGAGTATGACCAAGACGTCCTTGGTGCAAAAAAAAAAAAAAAGGATTATACGAGTGCACAAACGTATACACGTGACGAGAATATATGTACGTACACATATATATATATGTATATATATGTATATACATGTATACACATATACACGCATAATATATGTATATATTATGATCCAAGTGGCGTAGAACAAATGTGTGAAAATAAGAGAACTCACCTTCGGCACAACGCCACCACCACCGCCGCCGCCACCTCCGCCACCGCCGCCGCCGCCACCACCACCACCACCTCCGGACGGTCCGCGAGCCATATAGAGGCTCTCGGTGCGTTTAGGCTGCCCAGGACTCGGCAGAATGTCTTGTCCAAGGCCACGGTTCTTGATGAGAGCTCCCTCGAACTGACTAGGCGTCGGCGCCGCGTACGTGGGCGTCGCGGCGCCGCTACCTACCACGGAACCGTTCAGCGGCGTCCCCGCTCGGATCGCGCTCGGAGCTCTTATCGATCTACCGATCGCGCAGAAAATCAGTTTTTTAACCGATCAAAGTAAAACAAATGTTGTTTTAATGTAAAATTCTGCACAAACATGTGCGGCGTGTGTTAAAACATAAGGAAGAAAACATTCGAGTTTACTTTTTTCAAAATATTTTAAGAGATAAAAAAAAAAAAACAAATCATAAAATATGCGAAGGTATTTGGAATCAAAAATAACATCATATCTCCGATAACGTAAACGAGAGATTGTAAACATATTTTTAATTAACAAATATTGTTGTTGCTAAAATGTACGAGTTATCGAGTACATCCGAGTACCCGAACTCAAACTCACCTGTCGAGCATGTCTGGAGCTGGATTCGGTATCGTTCTATCGACAGACGCCTGTCTCGATCCGGTCAATCGAGAATGCGCTCTGGCATAACGATCTACAGAACTGTCGCGACTGGGCGGTCGCTTGTAGTGATCCAGTCTGCGAAGCGTGTGATGTGGTAATCGTTAAATTTTATTACACATACGCAAGGTTAAAACTATCTCAAAACTCCTTTTGTATGAAAAAAAAAAAAAAAAAAAAAAAAAAAACAGATATGTGTCGAACCTGTCGTTTAACGTTTGGCCGATGGTGCCAGGTCGATCTTGTGGGCTCAGAACTCGACTGTTTCTTCGCAAACTCGTGGAGCTCGGCGGTCTCGCAGCATCCGCGACACCATCAGGCTGGACGTATTGCTGCGTTTGTTGCTGCGCATAAATTTGCGCATTGTACTGATTCATCTGACCGGGTCCGTACTGGTTCGGTATTGCCGTCTGAAATCAATTTCACGTTGTGTTCTAGCGATCTTCATCTCCGATTCCCAAGATATGATTTATTTCTTATCGCGCGGCGATAACCAAATGGAAAAATTACTTTCTCTTGTTTTTTTTTTCTCAAGAAGAAAAGACGACGTGTTCGATAATTGTTCGATATTATCTATAGGCACGCAGTCGGGAATAATCTTATGTTTTGTTTTCTAGTGTTTCAAGAAAAACCACCAAAATTCTGCAGGCTTATCGTGAAGTAAAACAACATGTGTTGATATACATTGCACACACGTGAGCGAAAAAGTGGAAAACGGCGAAGTCGTGACTCGGCCGTGATTCATTATAAGTTCTCAACTATAAAACAACTCTTTATAAAAGCGCGTGTTATATTCGTGCTTCGCAGCGTCGTATTTTGCTCTCAGAATATTGCAAACGTGACAAAATATGATTATAATTAGACGTCGGTTGTCAATTAGTCATTAGTCATTAACGTCACGTTAGAGTGCGCGCGATGTTGAACTCGCGCTAAGGGGAGGGACAAAAACAAAAAAAAAAAAAAATCTCGTTGAGTCGCTTACACCATAAAGCTGGGCTCCGAATTGATTCGTTTGAGCGGGTGTCATTGGATCGTACGTAACCGGCGCTTGCGGAGACAATATCTAGAAAGAAATAAGAGAGAGACACGACATTGGCGTGTGGGCGCGCAAAAGCTTACGGTAAAAATCGAGGTATTGCGACGAGGACGAGAAAGCTGCGCACGTGACAGCTAAATGACGGAAACGAAAGCAAGCGGAGTCACCTGCTGACTAGGATAAGCCTGCAAATTTTGGAAGCCGCCTTGCGACTCGATCAATTGTTGCTGTTGCTGCTGTTGCTGATAACCGGGATACTGATCGACCTGCGACGGATTAGCCAGTTGATACTGCGACTGGTACGGATTGCTCTGAACGTATTGACTCTGCTGGCTGTACTGGTTCGGTTGGTACTGGTTCGGCTGATACTGATTTGGTATACTGTTTGGGTACTGGCTCGCCGGGTTCTGCGCCACGTTCTGCGGATACTGCTGATACGGATTCTGACCGGTCAGCGAGGTCTGCGCGTTCATCTGATTCATGGTCAGTTGGTTTGCCAACAGCTGGCCCGTGGGAGGCACCTGATTCGGTATCTGATTCTGGGTCGGCAATAACTGATTCTGCGGGAGCGGCTTCATACTGGCCCGTCGTATCGATTGCATCACGCTGCTCGCGGTGGTGTTCGCCGCTGATGTTGCCGTCGTGTTCGTCATCGTTGTCGTCATCGTCGTCGTCGCGGAGTCGACGGTCGACGAGACGCTCTTGATCGGCGTGGCGCCGCCTGGTTGGTCCACGCTGGCCGTTTTGTGCAAGATACTCTTGCCGGGCACGGTGTCCTGGGGCGGTGGCACGTACCTAGGTATCTCGGGCCGGTTTCGCAACCTCTCCAGACCCGGTTGCTGGAAGTCCGGCGCGAACTGCCTCGCCGTTTGCTGCGCCAATTCGGAATCCTGCCTCGCGTGCTCGGCGGCAATGTCCGCCAGCTCGGCCTTACCTCGCGCGGTCGCCGTTCTCGAAATTGCGATGTCCGCCTTCTGCAGAGCGATCTTGCTCGCCCGTTGAGCGGCGTTCACCGCCGCCTCTATCCTCTCGCGAAACTTGGCGGATCTGATGAGGAAGAGGTGCTTCTTCTTCTGACTGGTGATCAGCACGTTGTTCTTGTACTTTCCCTCCTCCTTGCTGCCGTCGCGGAACGTGGTCACGCCGTACCCGTATTTGCGATTGTTGAACCACTCGCCCTCGTACCTAAGTCCGTCGCTTCTCTCGGAAATGCCGAACCCGGTACGCTTGTCGTTCTTCCACTCGCCGAGATACGTCTCGGTCACCGACGCGTCCATCTGCTCGTCCTGCGAAGTCAACAACGATTACAAAGCTTCTCGCAAATGTCAAATTATTTTTTTAAGTATATTTTTAAGTATTTCAAAATTGTGCAACCACATCGGGAGATAGAGTGAAGGAATCAAGTGATTTACATTTTAACCAAGTCTTTGTTGGTTATTTAAGCGGATTTGGTGTCCGAGGAGAACGAAATCGAGATCCGATTAGAGTTCTCGTCTAGAAAGAAACTAAGGGAAGGGGGTAAATACCCGTGACCCACCTCGATGACAAAGGACGCATTACTGTCTGTGTGAACTGACGCCGATGCTTGGCTCTGCGAGCTCTCGGTCGACATCCAAGACGCCGAGCTAGCATTGCTCCTAATACTGCCGCCGGTTCCGCGCTTCTCCAAATCCCCCGTGCTCCGTTGTTTTCGTATCTTGAGGCCCTATGAATGAAGAGATATTCTTTTCTCGAATAAAAAAGCTCTCTCAAGTTTTTCCGGAAAACGATTTCGCGAATAATACAAATTCTTTTGCCGCGATAAAAACGTCCGTCCTACCGAGAGAATGCCCTTCTTCAGGGACTTTTCGGTGAGGCTCTTTCTCCGCGCGGGCGGATCGTCGCTCCTGGCTTTCAGAACGAATCCTCCTCGGCTGTCGTCCACGCGACGGTCCCTTCGGTCGGTCGGTTCCGGCGTCGGGGCGACCGCTGGTCCACCGTCGGCGCTCCTCAACGACGTTAAAGACGCTCTCATTTGTTTCGTCGGTTTGTAATGACTCGCCAAACCGAACGGCGCGCTCGCTCTCACGCCGTATCCGTGCCGCATGCCGCGGAGCCATTGGCCTTGATAAGTGCCTGCAACATATCATCGAAATAAATGATAATAAGGAAAAAAAAAACGCTGGAAATCGAACCCACGTCGGCAAATTGCCACGCGCCATTCTCTAGTCCATTAGTTCCGATGAAATAATTTCCACACAAAAGATCTATCGCAATTCGATGCGATGTACGATTGTTCGGATCGAAGCTACGGCTACTCGCAACGACAAATACGTATTTTTTTTCTTCTTTTTCATCGGAGTCGATACTTTTAAAATGCGATGCAGCGCAAAATGTGCGAAAAATCTTACGGCGTCACAAGTCGGAAGTCAGTTGCGCGTCAGTCGGTTACGACGAATTCCCAGGGTTGCCCGCACTCCGGGTAATAAGATATATTGTTTTTGCCAAAACGTGACCGTGTTTCAAAATGTCTCGCGTGAGTCACGATGTGCGAGGCGAGCGGTTACGCGCGCAGCGCTTGTTCAGGGATGTGGAATGCGCTCGGTCGAGTGCGTTTTGGTTTTTCGGAGAACGTGCGCGAATTCCAAATCCATGAAAAACTGCCGAAAAGACCGGATGCGCATCCTGTTTTGGGAATAAAAGTCGCGACAGCGCGAAGAAGACGCAATTCTGACGAACGAAGTTTGTTGTGTGTCGTTTTTATGCGCCGATTATTTACGCAAGAAGGGAGAGAGAGAGAGATTCGTGTAAAAATTGTTAAAACTATCAAAGCTTTTTATCAATATTTATTTACACGCTTATCGCTTCCTTCCATCTTTGAATTCATCAGACAGAAAAGTTATCAGCGGTAATAGCCGGGGTGTATTTATTGAAAGCACGCCGACCATTCTTTCGTATTATTCATCATTTAATTTGCACTGTGTATATGTGTGTGTGTGTGTGTGCGTGTGTGTGAATAGCTTTGCGTCTGGACAAGATTTGTATTGCGGCCGCAGCGAAAAGTTCCGGCCGACGACGTTTATTGGCATGCAAACCAAGTCGCGCAAATGCAGCACCACGACGATGGGTCGACGTTTGGGTTACAGTGGATGCACCGACGCTTTTCTTCTTCAATCCCCTCCTCCCCCGACACAGTTCAGACGCGAACACATATAAGGTGTCCCGTCTCACTGTCGTTGTTCTCTCACAGCGGAGTTCCTTTCGCGTTTAGATTCCCATGATGGATTTTATTTATTTACTTTGTTCGAATTTTGCGCAATTTTTCTCGTCAAAATTAAAAACCAAAAAACAAACAAACACAGAAAATATTAAAAATCTCTATTGTTCTTTGACACTGAGACGAAAGTAATATCGAGTCGATTTGAAAAGTTCAGAAAAACTTTTTCGGAAGATCGACGATCTTCCGTTTCGAAATTCCTGCCGCTCGAAAGTCGATCGCGAAACAAACGAACAAAAAAAAAATCAATTCACCAGGAAATTCGTTTGTTAGCGGACACGACGATACGATATTTAGGGGGATACCCTATATATGGCGACGCCAGGCGTCTCCCCTCTCTTCTCGCGACGCCGGAATATTATTTCGCTAGCGTTTAAGCAAGTGGGTCACGCGGCGGTTTCCCCGGCGTTCGCAAGACGCCAATGTACACGAACCCTCGAAATTGCCGTCGCCGCCGCGCGCGCGCGCGCTCGCTCGCGCGGTCTCCGTTAATGCATACCGTACGTTTTCAATTAATTTTTAAGCGCGCGCCATCGTGAAAAGCGCACGTACTTACCGTGTCCAAGTGGGCGTGAACGTTCAAACATCGCAACGTTTTCCCGACATTATTCACAAAAACGAAATGTTTCTTGCGCTTGTATCGACTCGTCGTCGCCTCGGTTCGCGCGACGGAGAGTTTTTAGTGCTTTTTCCCACGAAGAGGCACGCGCGTATATATCACATCGGTGAATTATTCTTTCAAAAAAAAAAAAAAACAAAAAAAAACTATTACTCTCTTTCTCTCTCTGGATTAGTTATTTTTTTTTATATAATTTGTTTACGTTTTTTCAAGCCTGTCTTACGCGAATAAAAAGTCACTCGTTCGCGGTTTTTGTTTCATTTCTGCGGTAATTTAACGCGCGTATCTCAAATTTTTAATCGAATACAAATACGTTACGCCCGACATTGTTGCCCTATTTGCAACGCACAGATTGTTAATCTGTGACTACGCGTCAAAATACGTAAGGGCGCAACTTGGGCATTTTTCGGCGCGACGACGCTTCTCGGCAATCTTAACGAACTACTTTTGAATCAAACGCGATTTTGTCGCGATACCTCGCAAAGTCCAATAAAGAAACAGAGAGAAAGAGATGTTAAACGAACGGCACTACATAGTTCTACGGAAAAGTAGATCGTGCCATCACATGTATCGATTCGCGTACTCGTCTCAGCAACGCGACCCAGATTAATTATTGTCGAGGCTTTAATTCCTCTACCACATATGTGTACATATATATATATATATATATAAATACGCGCCGCGACTTTCGCGACGTTTATTCCCGTGAAAAATCACCGCCGTTCGTGTGTAAATAAATGAGGTAACTCTCCTCGAACGTGTGATCATTCAGAAAGTCTCTTTCTTTCTGACTTTTCTTCGACGGAAATTAATCAATCGAGCGCGCGAATATCGAATGGCGAGTAGTCCGTATGTAGTACATCTTTATCAACCGGATTTTTTTTTACGCGATATCCGCTTAATTCTGCCATTCATATTCGCACAATCTCGTAATTTGCTCGGGATGATTCCAGCAAGTGTTTTCATCTTCGTCGGAAGGGATCAGACAGAAAGTTTTTGTTTTAACGTCGAACAGGGAGTCATTCTGGCGTGCGTCCGTCACGTCGGTAAACACAAAACTTTAGGGAGGGTTTTTAAATCCGATCAAAGAGAGCGCGTCTTTTTTCTTCTGTCGCTACCTGTCGTGTAAAAACTAAAACCTTTCGAAATTCACACCAAGTTCGCGGAGTCAACGAGATGTGCGTTTACTCGCGTAGAATTGACGACGATGATACGAATGACCGAGCTTTATGGCGCGACCCGAACGAGGCGCAATTCCGCTCGCGATCTACAGGGTGAACCGGGCGCGATCGCACGGCCCTGGTTTTTGCTACATGGCACTGGCTAGCCCGCCTGAAATAGCGCGGCCGTCTTCTGCGATGGTGGTCGGTTGCACGTGCATCGGGACACGTCTACGTGTGTTGGTGAGAATCGGCCGTGCGAGCGTATTTCGGTCCGCAGCCTCCACCGCGGATCGTCACACGAACCACCCTAACAGGTTTGTCGGCCGTTCCATCCGTCTCGTTTACGTGCGCGCCTGTATATATATTATCAGCCGGAGGGTGATATGGCGTGAGTGGAAGAGGGAGTGTGTTCTTATTAAGAGCTTTTTCCCGAGCCTTATCTCAACGCGTTCATCTATTTTTTATAACCAGCCTGAATATTTTACAAAGAGCAGCTTTTGTCCAAACCGACGATTCCTTCGAATTGAGATCCTTCCTTCGGAGTCTCCCTTGCGCGGCAAGTCTTTTGAAACTTTTATTTCACATTATCTACCATCCCCGTCATTGCCAAGTTGTTCCCTCTCTTCTCGTTCTTTCTCGTCCTCCATTCCCGTAATGTCCGTCGGTTTGTATCAATTTGACTATCCTCCCGTTCGCGTTTGCGAGAACTATTGCGAGAAAAAAACTCGCTTATCCAGAGAAGCAGTTAAGCTACTTTATTATTGATTGCGACGATTATTCGTGTGCGTCGCTTCGATCCTAAGAGACAAGTCGCGCGCGCGGTGCATACGTATGATATATGCCGCGCGCGTTTTTCTGTGCAAACGGGTTGGCGGTGATGAACGAAACGGCGACTCTGACCGAGGACGCAAACTTTCGCGATTTTTTCGATCAAAAACGGAAAAATCTTATTTGACCGAAAAAAGTTAATCTACAATCGCGTATATATATATATATATATATGCGTGTTGTGTACGTATATACGAGTTGTGTGTGTTTGAAATACGTGACGCGCGCCATAAAAAATTTTACGCCGTCGCGATTAAAACTTAATTTCCCGCGATATCTCATACGTATTTATTGTCTGTAATTTCCACGAGCGTCCCTGATTCTAATTAAATACGCTTTAAAATTCATAATGGCCTTTTTTACACGCGCGATCTGCGGCGCGATTGTGTGACGTAAGAGCTGTGACGCCAGGAAGAATCAGAAATAACAGGCAAGTACGTATGAAGTAAGGTAAAAGCGGCTCATCAAGGTAACCCACGCCGTTATAATATTAACAGCTTCGCATCCCATATACGTCGCTATTTTGCATAAAGGGTTGCGGTACGCTCTCTTTCTCCCTCTCCCTCTCTCTCTTATCGTACACACCGAGGCAATACTCTCGGGGGCAGAATAGAGAGAGAGAGAGAGAGAGAGAAAAAAAAAGTAGATTACGCGGCCTTTCATTACACGCGCGCGCGCGCGAAATTGTTCGAGCCTTTGTTCCGCTCGCTTTCCATACGACGCAGAACGACGAGAGATGAGAGAGTGTGGCGTTGTTTCTCTCTCGTCTCTCACTTATGTAACACGTCGCTCAATTATGCGACAGGCCGTCGAACAATTCGCGCGCGGATGTAACTGGGTTGCACCGGTCCTGCGGGTGCCGTTACTGTCCTTTCCGCTCGGTGAGATTGTTGCAGAGTATATGTATTGTGCGACTATAATTGTGAAAGCCCCGGCACCCGGGAACACGGTCTTTCTCTCTCTCTCTCTCTCTCTCTCTCTCTCTCTCACGGTCTTGTAATATCCATTCCCGGGTTTTACGCGCCTGTCGCTTTACAACTTGGAAGTAACAGAAGAAACGTTCGCCCCCCCGACGCGTTGGCGGATGGCGGCGCGCTCGGGGAGAGGTTTGTCTTTTTATCAAGCCGCAGCGTGATAGCGGCTTGTATCCGCGCCAAGATATCGATCTATTTTCTTCTTTCTCTTTTGCGACGTGTAACTTCTCTCTCTCTCTCTCTCTTCCTCTCTTCGTTACGCTCCAATTAAATCC